TATATATACTGATCAATCTCCTCGATCAGGAATGCATCTCTCATGAACAGAAAACCTGCCCAACAGCCAAGGCTGTCCCTATGGGGGGTGAATTGGGGCAACTACCCTGGGTCCCACGCTTTGTGGGGGCCCTGCAGAGCCAGGTAGAGTGGCCACAATGACTCTGCGCTGCCGCTGCTGGTTTTGCATCTCGTCACTCGGCACATGATCGACTTGTGCCCCCGATGGCTCTGGGGGGCATGGTGGTGGCGGGAGCGCAGCAGCGGCGGCGAGAGTGCGATGGTGGTAAACGGGGGAGCTCCCGCAGATGCCGCTGGCGCTGTCAGCTGTGGGGGGGCAGGTGGCAAGTGCTGACCGAGGGTTGGCAACCACCTGCTGCTACCACTGGCATTGGCAGCAGCGGCCAGAGGGGATCATGGATTGCCTGCAGATGCCTTTTTAGTGTCAGCAGTGCCTTTTTGTAGGGGGTGCACCACCATGCTTAGGGGATGCACGTGTATCCATGTGCACCCCTATGCATCACCCCTGGCTTGGCACCTCCCCCACTGCTGAATTCACTGCTGGCTTCTTCACGTCTGGGGTGTGCGGTGGCGGGGCCCCGCACAAGCAGATTTGCCCTGGGCCTGCGCCTTGCTTGGGTCATCTCTGCCAACAGCCATGAAACAAAATTAGCTTTAGCCATTACTATGTATTTAATTTGGGAAGCCAAAAGCTCCTTTTTTCTCTATGGCTAGGTACAGACATTAAAAAAGCCTGAGGCAGAATCGATCTAAGTTATGTGGTTTTCTGTAAGCAGCGTAGTTTAGATTGGTCGCAAACAGAAAACCCATTTGCCCTTCGGTGGGGGAAGGGAGGGAAAACGGGGTGGGCAGGGAAATCTTAGACTGGGTTCTGCCAGTTTTAAACCAGTCTGTCTGCTGAATTTCTGTTCTGTTAGGGTATAGGTAAGTTTCTGATCATTTATGCTTGTAACAGCGTAATGTCTGTGCCTGGCCTATCTGTGTACCCTTTAAAACCCCTAGTCCAGTGGTCAACAGTGTTTCCCAGTGATGGGCCAGAGTGACCCAGTTCAGCAAGTCAGTGCTGGGACCTGCCCACCAATGCTACAACTTCTGCATGCCAACCGGCTGTGATGCAATGTGGGAAAGCTTCCTGGCTGCCCAGACAACTGGACACAGAGCAGTGTAGCACACTGCAGATGAAGCCCTCTGATGCCAAATGCTACTGAAGACCCAGCTCCACAGGCCAGAGCCACAGGCCATAGGTTGCTGACCTTTGTTCTAGTCTCCTGTGAATTGAATACTACTTTTTTTGATCATCTACATCATAGAATAAACAGACTTCTAGGATTAGAACTCACATGGGAGATTGTGGCATGGGGGGAGCTTTATTTTCTTTCTTATCTACGTATAAGCAGAGCATAAAACCCTTTAATTTAGGCTCTACAACAGCAGGGTTTATTGCCTGAAATGCAATTAAATTTTCTTGGTAAAAGTGTATGCCAACAACATGAAATAAATATTTGGGGGTGTATTCTGGCAAGCATAACTGCATGGGCATCAAGGGAGCTACCCACGAGGGTAGCTCGGAACACAGGCCTGAGGAATGGAAGGACATTCTTTCTGCAAAATTATAGCTCTTGCAAACCAGGCATTGAGAATGTAAGACTGCCTTTTTAAAACAAGCAGACAAATAACCTAGTAAGGATAAAATTTTTAATTCATTACTGAAGATCCAAATGACATCTGAACAACAATTTTTTCTTTTAGATACTTCATGCTGCTCTGTAGTGAACTTTGAGCACGAGTATAAAACATTAGGCAAAAACATGCTAATCCCTTTGGGACAATTACCCATTATCAACATAGAGAGAGCTCATTTTGCAGCCATCATTACAGTAAAATGAATAGAATTTTGCATATATTACCTACTAATATTGATCAATTCAGTGAGAATTGGAAGATGAGAAAATAAATGCCTCGCATAAGAACAAATCTAGAGGATCACCAAGTAAAAAAATGTATTACTTTCACAAGCCAAATTGATATAGTTTCATCACAAGAGTGATAGTTTCATCAGAGGAGTCTCCATGTATTGCCATTAGTGCAACCATTTTCCCAACATGAATGGCTATTACCAAGAATATCAAACTCTTTTATTATTAAACTTGGAAAGACATAAAAGCATTGCACACAGCTTGTGTTTTAGACTGAATTTCCTCAAAGTCTTCTAGCATTGCATGGCCACTGAGGCATATCTAGATGGCACAGTGGCAAAAGTGTTGGCAGCTAGTCTGTCCCAGTGCTCCTATCATTGTTAGCACTGGTACAGCTACAACATACTAGCCCAATTCAGGGAGATGAAGCAACATAACAGTGAAGAGACAGCCACAGGTTATTTCAGACCTCCTGGAAGTCATCTGACCACCCATATCTTGCACATTCTGTAGAAAAGTGATAGACATATGATATTCTGAGGCTAACTCTCTCATTGAGTTGTACAAATGGTTGTCATGTTGCCTTTTACAGGTACTTCACTACCAGGAATTTTTCATGGGTTCAGCTATACTGCTGTTAATTTCAGTGCAATTACAGAGCCATACAAGCTCTAGAACAGTTAGCAGAGACCCTGGGGTCCTGATTCAGCAAATGCACTGCATAAAACAGGGCTGGCCAACCTGAAGCACATATGCCACAAGTGGCAAAGGCTGCCTCTCTGTGTGGCACATGGCAGATCAGTGAGGAGACAGTCAGGCCAGGGGCAGATACAACAGGAAGCAGAAGGCAGAGCAGATCAAGGAGGGAACACAGAACAGGGAGCAGAAAGAAAATCAGCAGGTTGGGCAGGGCAAGGGGATTGGAGTGTCATTTGGGGATGGTCCAAGGCTAATTTGTGGCATGCCCGCCAAAAACCTTTGGCCCACTATCGCATAAAACATGGGACACTATAGCAAGAAGGAGCTCCATTGCAACCTTGTGTCTTCTTTGCATTTTCCTCCTCCAACACAACAAAACCATAGCAATTTAATTGTTCTGGACCCCAGACGAAGGGGGAGAAAACCATTTTGAATTACAGTTCAGTTTTTTCTCTAAAACAAATTTATGCTTCAGGGGTAGTTTGTCTTCTCTACGTTCTATTCCCCATTACTGGAAGAGCAGTTCCCAGGATATAAGGGGAGGTACAAAAAGAAAATAAAGTGTATTAGGAGCCAAGATGCCAATTTATCCAAAATAAGTATGAAATGGCCAGTTTAATGGGACAACAAAGGATCTGCATGATCTGTTTTCTGCCATGTTTAATTATCTACTGTACATCTTAAACCCCAGCCAAAGTGCAAAAGTAAGACTAGTTAATTTAAAATAAAACAGAAACCATTTACCTGTATTAAATGAGCATTATGTTTTTATAGCCTTGGGTACATGCAACCTTTCTGGAAACACAATACTTTACTAAAAAAAATAAAAAAAATAGGTAAGATACTATTTCCCAGGGCCTGGCAGGACTTACACAGTGAAAGCTGCCCTTTTGCACAGCCTCTGCCCAACGTCTGTGTGCCACTTAAGTCCTATTTTGTGTACGTTAGTGGTACTCAAATGGTGCACAGACATTGTGCTGATCCCATCTGCAAAGGGGCAAATTTTGCTATGCACACCTCACTGTACAGTAGAAAAGATCCTTCTCAGAAATATTTTCCATTATTAAATGATTGCAGATATGTAGCAGATACATCTACCTGCCTCTATGGTCCTCTAAATTCACACACTTGCTTTCATTTAAACTATCAGGCGTTTACAGAGACATTATTCTGAAATGTTTGTGTTCTGAGCACTGAAGGGGACCACATGCCAAAAGCTGGAAGAACGGCACTGGGGGAAAGAGGAAAGGCGAGGGTGGGAATCTCTCCTGCTCTGGGGACTCAAAGAAGTCCCTGGCTGCAGCACAGTCCCACCCCAGCTGTTGTTGCTGGGGCACAGACTTCCTAAGGTGAGTTGCCATTCTGGTGCCCCCACTAAGTTGATGCCTGGGGCTGGTGTCCTGCCACCACCTTCCTCTGCCCCCCCCCTCCCCCAAGTTATACTTTGAGGTATTCAGAGACATAGGCCTGCTCTTTGCAAGCACGTAGTACTCCACAAACTCCTGACCTACTATTTGAAGTAAAGACTGCACACTCATTGGGAGAGATATTGGGCATTGCTCTGGTGTAGAAGTCCCATAAAATGTGTTACTATAGCCTGAAGGAGGATTCCCCTGTTACAAACAGAGCCATGTGTCTGCGCCAAGCAACACCGTGCTGCCCCCTTTTGTAACTCCTGACAGCAAGCTAGTATGAGGGCTGGGACACTGGAAGGTAAGTGAGGGATGAAAGGGGAGACAGATTTTCAGTCACAATCCTCTGCAGTTTATCCTCAGAGCAAATACGAGAAGGAATGGACCACATACCATAGATGCTAGTTATGTCAATTATTCCATGTGTGGAAATTACTCAGGTACTATTTGCAACAATAATTGTATATGAACCAGGGTAGAAAATGGAGAGTATCTGGTGCTATGCAAGTGTTAATTTACTCAGGGGTTATTTTAGTTTTGGGAGCAGCCTAGTATCTGGAATGCAATAAAGCCAACTCTTCCTGGACTCTGGTTTGTGCTTTATGTTAGGTACACAAAACTACCAGTAAAATCTAATCACAACCATAGAAGTTAAGTATGTGCAATACTCTAGAGCTTGTAAAAATGCATCAGATAAAGAAACAAAAGTGTAACTATATTAGAAATGTAATAGTACAATGCCCTTGAGCACCTAAGAAATACATTTCAACCTGAAAAAATTCCATAGTGGGGGTACCCTTCAAGAAGCCGATAACAAAATACAGCTGTTTTGCACTACCCTAGTGTCTGACATCCATTGCTTGTGCATTTTTTGTAGAACCATTTGAAAGTATACCGCAAGAGAGTTTTTATGACCATGTCATTGCAATGCACCAGCCATGTAATCCAGCTCCAGGATTTTAAGCTAAATGTGTGGATTAAAAACATATAGCTGCAAGGCAAAATGTGTCACCTAGTAAGACTGACAAACTTGAAATAGTTGTATGAACCTTTCCAGAGACAAATCACAGGCTATGACACTTATAAAACTTCACTGTGTTTACCCAACCACTGCATGGGTTCTCTCTTAATCATACATATGTGCTGTGCAAACATGCAATACCATAAACACATACACCAGTAATTACTACAAGGCTTAAGTATTCAAGTTCTTTAGTCCTGTGCCCCCTAGTGAAGAAAAGATTTGAATGTGCAATCAGATAAACAGACACAGGTGCATATATTTGTATAACCCAGTGTAGATGTTCTCACTGGCACGTATTTGAATATGTGACCATGCCAAATGGAGCATTAACCTAACATTTACTGCACTTACTGGTGTCATGCTTGTTAGTTGGGACTCTTAGAAAGGACAAACCAACATGGACATGCAGTGATCTCCCTGTAGGCTGGTTTGCACAAGAAACCAGTGATAAACCATATATCTAAAATGTACCTCTCATTTGTAAGGCTTAATTAGCTTTAATATAACTTTAAAAGCTACAGGGCAAAAGTTTGCTAAGTTACATGCAAGAAACCCCACTAAAACCGGTGGACTGTCCTGAACAAAAATGAATATGCTCACATGGAAGCAACCATTTTAAATCATATCACTCTAGACAGTAGTGCAAACATTTCCAATGCATTTTTTCAAGTTACCCATGTCATTCATCATTTGACCTGCTCTAATCCACTGCACAAATAGGACCCTATTTTGTAAGTGAGTTCTTTCAGAGGGGTAGAGCATGGAATAAGGTACTTTTAAACCAGAGTAATGGTGGGAGAACCTAGCCCCTGGCTCAGATAGGCATGAAGGGTTAAAAAGTTTGTAACAGTTCACAGAGCTACAGCCTAACTTCAGTGTCCTAATGGTATTAACAGGAAAGAGTCACTTGGTACAGTACAGTCAACAACATTCATATTTAATCCAACGAACAATGTTATCATATGAAGGGTTATAATGAAGCTTATTTTTCCAAGTTTAAAAAAAAAAAAGAAGAGGTCAACACTTAAGCTTACTTCTCAACGGGTGGTTTTAAGGGGCTAAATTAAAATGTGCAGTGGTCATAATAAGAATGTGAATATAAAGCCCTTCTATTTATGGGCCAAAGTCTAATAGTCCTACTCAGACTGAATAGTTTTTAAGTGCTGTTTGTAGTCAGTGGGCCTACTTTTGGAATATTGTACTATCAGGGTTATCAAATCCTGACCATACAGGTTTAAGGTTACTTCAACCAGTAGTCTAAATAGGGCTTATTGCTCTAAACACCCCAAATAAGGTCACCTAGTGATCTGCCTTCCATCTGACAGAAACACTCAGCATTGAGTTACTCATTAGGGTTCACATAAATTAAAATAGGATAAACAAACAAAACCCTGTTTAGAAATAAAATAAATGTAATAAACATGTCCTCCCTACCCACTTTCCAAAATAAATAATTCTTTCTAAACATAGCAACCAACCACGCATGGCTTGATCAACAGTACTGGAGCCATTAGCTCACCCCTACTATGACATGAACCCAAATACAAATTAAAATATACAAAGCAGAAAAAGAGGAATGAGAATGGGAGCTATCAGGACATAGCATGCCTTATGGACTGAGAACCAAAGAGCAAGTGACTTGTTTTAGCTCCCTCAGAGCATTCTGCAAAACATGTTCCTCCTTAAGAGATACTTTGATTATATCTTAAATCATCGCAGGCAGAGTAAAGAGTAGGGATGAATCCAAAATGCAACACCCATAGAAATCAATAGGTCCAAGGAGTTTCTGGAAGCATGCTTTTGCATTAGCTGTAAGATGCCAATCAGGATGAAAATGATTTTTCAACACAAACTGGAAAAGCTTCAAGAGAAAGCTATGAAGATGGGGGAAATCATGCCACCAAACAATACAGAGACAATAATCCTAGGTTCAGCCACACAGGTTTCATAACACTGACCAGCTCTGAGACAACCTTCAGTTGCTGTTACTACATCTTCTGGGGGTAGTAACACTCTTTCTTGCCCACCAATTTTAATTAAATGCACTAGACTCTTGTGCTGGGGGTGTGGTGACAGAGCAGTAAAAAATGTCTGGCTATGGCTCCAGAGTCATGAGTTCACAAACCCTGCTCCTGACTGCCAGAAGGCTGTGCCCAGCCAAACCAGTGTAAATGGGCACCTGGTCATTCAGACTGGGGAGCCAACAGCAGCTAGATACGATGTTAGCTCCATCATTTCTTTATGCCACTGACTAGATGACTGATGTGCCTTGGCCCATAGAGCTGGAATGGTTATTTGGCTCTAGGAGACCTTCTGACAGAGTTGTAAATTTAAAGAACTTAAGCAACAACCTCACCCCCAAACTAGAATGTAAATAAATTCCAGCAGACAACGTGCCCATCTATGGCCTGCGCGAGCACACACTCAATCTGTAGCTAAACTATCATGGGCTTCTATGGGCTTCAGCCCATGCTGCAGGTGTGTTTCTCAAAAGTCTCATCTTTGCAGTGCTAGGGAACCTTAGCAAAAACATTTTCATGTGCAATGCAGAATAAATTTAGTTCAATTCCCAAAGAAACGATCGCATGTAATTATAAAGGTCAAGAATTATAATGGTTCTATGGAAATACAGTATTTGTTAGTATCTTCCTTGCACTTAATGAGCAGTCACACTGCAAAGTAAAACAGGTTGGAAGGTAACAGTCAGGATTTAAAGTCTCTAAGGGCCAACCTTTGCCTCCATATTCACGCATCACTTCCCTTTTTTCAGTTGGAAACAATGAGCATGCATCTAGCTGAATTTATCTCAGTATGTCTTCCAGGATTCTAGAATTGTCATTTTTCTGCCTAACATAGAAAATACAAATAATAAAATTATCAGTTTTGGATTCTGTGGATTTTGAATGATGATTTAAGACACGTTTGTTTTGCTTTCCATTTTTATGGCTTGGGCAAGGACTTCTGATTTTTCAGTATGGTTGCTTTCTCTGGAAAATTCAAAAAGCAACTGCAGTTCTAATTTAGTAGGTTCTTACACTGAATTTCTAGCAAAACTAAAGACTGATGCTTGGTTGCAGCAGTTAAGATTACTGGTATAACAGTCTTTTTGCCATTATTTCATTGCATATTGTTGAAAACAATGCTTCCTGGTCTAAAACCAGTGACATTTCAATCACGGAGAAAAAACCCAACAACAAAAACAATTTAACATATCTTCAATTGATTTGAGGAATATTATATATCTTTCCAGCTAGCATTAATGAGCTTTAGGAACCAAAACAACATGTGGACAAAAATCCCTGTGAATGATTTCACAAACTTATATGAAAACCTTTCTTACTTCTAGGTCTCACTGAACAATAACAAGCTAGCAGGTAAGAAGCAGCAGCCAGCGATGTTTGTAACCCCCAGTGTGGAAGGTCAAAATAAGGTTTTTTTTTCTTTAAAAACAAAACAACACTACTTTAAAACAGAACTGAGATATAGACCTCCCTGGGGTTTTACACTTGTCATCCATATGCATGTTAAAAACTGTATGTTCAGTATATCTTGTGTTGCCTGAGAACCATTTTGCTCTTGTAAAATCTGCTATTATATTATAACACATAAGTAGCTTTCATTTTCTGTATTAACACTATAAATACTATGTTAGTAATACTAAACTATTTCTATTGACTTATTTGTAAAAAGAAAAATATATTATATATTTATATATTTTTTATAAAGTGAATTAACACTGAGGGGCATGGGGAAATAGTGTACAATCACAGTTGGTATGTGTTAGGGGGCATAAATTCAAAGCTTAAAACAAAAAAGCAGTTTAGTTTAAATCCACCTTTCAAGCAGTGTCAGAGGAAGAGTCATAGGAAGCTGACACTATGAAGTTGCCAGGGTTGGAGTGGCTTGCCATAGACTGAGCTGCTTGCTGGCTTAAATTGTTACAGATGAGCACCAGCTGGTTGCTCTGTGCTTCAGACAAGGTACTACAGCTCTGGTAGACACTGAAATTGGTCTTTCTGCCAGGTATGTTGCCTTTCTCACACATTGTCTTCACCATCTTTGCCAGCTTGTTTTTCCCCAAGGCTTGGCAATTATACCAGTGAAGGGCAGCCAGGTTGACAACTGGCTTGATGGACAGGTAGAAAGGAGCGTCTTCATATCGCATGGCAGGTGGCCGCCTTTGAGCATATTCCTTGTAGTCTTGCACTGGACAGGTTTGTGGAGAATGCTGCGTGGCGTACACCCGGGAGTCTGTCCCTCCTCTCTTGCTTTTGGCGTTCACATCTCCATTATCTGGCCCCATCCATTCCAAGTATTCCAGTCCGGTCTCTGTCACCCGGAGCCTGATATCCCCCCATTTGAGGGTGGACCCATGGAAACCTGTACAGTGTCCAAATGCTTTAGTGTTATTTAGCCAGACAAGATTCAGCAACCCCTCAGGGTTATACCGACTCAACAAGCCTCGTTTACGTAGGATAAGCTCATCAGCAAAGGTAAGCTTCATGGATTTGTGTGGCTTGTTCCCTTTACCTTTACACCTCAGCTCTATCTGCTTTTGCTTCAAAGCTTCCTGAGACCTCTTGAACTCCTTATCCCTGGTAATACTGTATCCATACCTGTGCTCTTTGAGGTACCGCTCTAGCCCACACTGGTAGTTGGCCAAGCTATTTGGTTCATATTCTGACCCATCCTTCTGCCTGGCATCCACAAAGAAAGAAGCTAGGTATGCATCAAGCTCTTTGCAAGGGATGACATAGATTTCCCGGGTCTCAGAGGGATATTTGGAGATGAGAAATTCTCTGAAGTTGCGAAGTGCGGTTTGAGTGCTGCGGATGGTTTTCTCATTCTGCTCCCTGCTAAGTTCTGCTGCTCTTTCATCCTGGTCTGAAAGATGCAAAAGAACAGAGAAGGGAACAGTGAGTTTGTGCAACATGTTGTTCCCAAAAATAAATTTCCTTAAAAGAAAAAAAAGAAAAGAAAGAAAAAAAATCAATTTCACAAAGAGCATTCGAAAACATTATTACATACCTGTCTCATGTTTGAAAAGCCAACTTCAGTTTCACAAATGATGTTACTAGAGTATGGCAAAAAACAATCAAAATGAGCTCCTCATGTCACTGGCACACACTTAAGTGCATGGAGATTTGTGGAAATGTCTGGGATTAGAGATGGTCTGTTTTAGAACAAATGCAAGATACAGAACTTTTAGACTGATTCCACTGCTGTATGCAGGGGCCCAATTCAAGTCAATAAACCCATTCGGAATTACTTCATTTGTGAAACCAGAGGTTGTACTGGTTCCAATTTTTTAAAATAACTAAAGCATCATATTTATTACATTAAAAGTATCTTTAATGAAATGCATTTGTAAAGTGCTAAATAAACTAGACAGAAATGTAAAATACATAATAGTGCACAACACACCCAAAGGAGGCTTGCAAATAAGCATACAATGCATAGTTTACATGTGTACAAATAGCAGAGGGGGACATTTCAAATTTAGGGAACACCAAAGAAGAAAGCATTGATATTTAACAACACAGTACTACACAATTTCAGTTGGATTTAAGATCACCTATGCGATCCAGATTTTTTCTTGATAGTGGAACCATTGCTCCTGGAGACACTAACCTTTTCTTCATCCAGGGAACCTTGGCAGAAGATCAAAATCTGGAAGCAACTTTTTATAGGCCTGGCAAGACTATTTTTAAAGGCCTTCCTGATCAGTGACATATCAAACCAGCTGTTAATTAAAGCTCAAGTTACCACTAAGATAATTTTCATTAGGTATCATTTTTTTCCTGAGCATGGCATGAAGAACATGAAAAGGAAAGGGGTCCTTTTCATTTAGGTTACAAGTGACATTGGAAGACTGTTTTCTCTTCATGTACAAACAATCTTTCCACAGGAGGATGTAAGGTATAAGCATGAAGGTGGAACTGTCATTACACATATGTGAAAAAGCTTAATAATTTTAGGAAAGAACTGCACACAAACAGGCAAAACTGCAATAAATTAACTGTAAGAGATAACTGCTAACAGAACTTGGTTATTGTATTTTCCATGTAATAGGCAGAAAGAAATTCAGCCCTTCTCTAATATATCAGAACAAATAAACTAACAAAACCCCCACTTCTTTTGTCCTTAAGAATCGTCCTATATACATATATTTACAGCCACATATAAGTACCACCATTTGCATTTCAGTAGAGCCAAATACCTAAGAACCAGTTTGACCTACCATGTTTCCATTAGCTAAATCTAAAACAATGGTTTTCAACCATTCAACCATTTTAGACTCAAGGTATTCCTCAGTAAATCCCAGCTCTCAGTTTTCATTAATTTTTTACTTCAGAAAAATAACAGAGCAATTCTTCTGATGCACAGAACTCAGAATGCAACAGGCCAGAATGTACTTAACACTATGGATTCCTAACTGAAATCTCTGGGTTTATCTTGTGAATCATGTTTCCATACCTAACAGTGCTAACATTGTGTGGCACCCCATGGCACCTTTGAAAGGATCTTGTGCCACACCCTTTTTGAGAATCACTGATCTAACAGATCCCCTTCTCTCATGACACTCTTAGGACCTCCAGCCTCTCTCCAGCTAATTCCACTGAATTCCTCTCCCTTCTGGCCTGACCATCCCAGAAGGGAAGGAATATACTGAGGCCAAGTACTGTAAAGCTTACTCTTATGGGAAAGCACTACTACATATGATAATAATAATACCATTATGCCCTCATCTCTCAGCACCCCAGTCCCCCTAGTTCTTGCAGTGAATAACAGGAGTAGATATGTAAAATTTAAAGAAGAAACAGAACCAAAAGCAGGAAAATGAAGGTGTAACCTCCCCCTCTCACTGCTATTTATCATCTTCATTTTCTTCCTGAAATGTTGACAGGCATGTAATCAGGTGTCAGACGTATAAGTTTGACAAGGTGTCATATTTACATTTTCCCCTCTGATCATTATGACAAGGATGAAATGTTTTTTAGTACGCACATAATTCAGGCCAAAAAGTTAGTCTCCAGGGACTCAGTGTGGGTGCATCTTGAAGGTGTCTAGGAGAAATCCATTTCCTCTCCTGTTCTTATGAACGTAAGAGGAGTCATCTGGACCTATAGTCAAATACCAGCACAAAAAAGAGCATAATTCAGTCACCATAATGTTTATTCCAGGAGTGTCAAACCATAGTGTTTATTCCAGGAGTGTCAAACTGCCCAGAGTGCAGCTTGCATCTTGGACCAACCACAGCCCGACCGGCTAAAGTGGGTGCTGCAGGTGCTGGATCTGCTATGCAGGGGTGGTCGTTCTGGATTGGCTAGCGTGGGTACGGCATCCAGGGTGGGACCCAGACCAGGGCCTGGGTCCTGCACTAGGGGCCAGATGGTGGAGCAACGTGGGCTGAATCCAGCCGGGTGGTTTGTTTGACACCTCTGTTTTACAGTAAGATTCATGTTACCAAGTGTATTATTAAGATTAAAACAGGGGTCCTGTAAAAAAGCTGTCTCTTTTATAGTACTTCCACATTGGAGGTGCTTCATTTATAAAATATTTTTCCCTTAGCAGTCTGCAAAAACAAGGTGATTTTGGAGTGAGAGAATCAAACCACATCCTATCTGCTTTACACCTCATCTTCCGCAACAATAAGCATTTGGAATCAGAAACCTGGGGGAGACTGATTGATTGTGAAAGCAAATGAATTGACCTACAGCTTGTTTTTCAGTAGCAGTATTGGTTCTCCACTGCCAGAAGTAGCAAAAAAACAATTTTACTTATTTATTTTTTGGTCAGGAAACCAGGGGATCTGGACAGGAAGATGCACAATTCTAAATCCTATCCTGTTTGTCATACCAAGCAAGAGAAACAATTGAAGTCACCTTGTTCCTCCTTTTCTGTGCTTTTTCTATATAAGAGGCAGGAGTTTTTTGTGATACCTCTTACTGGAAGTGTAGTTGGAGGAGATTAATACCTTGATTCAACAAAGTAGTTAAGCATGTGCCTAACCTCAAGCACTATCACTGGTAATCCTATATGCTTCAATGCCTTCTGCCTGCATCTCTGAAATACATAATTAGAATGTCTGGGACCAGATGAACATAGTCCTGTATGCTTCACCTTCTAGCTTCCTCTCCCTCAGGGAAAAAAAGACTGCCAAGTAAAAATTGTGGCTTAAAAAATGTTAAAAGATGGAATGTGGAAAAACATTAAGAAGGGAAAGGAAACAGCTATGTTTTAAAGACTGGCCACTATTTATGTTGGAATCAAAGAATCTGCGATATCCTCTAATGAAGACTTAATGCCTAGGATGAATCCTATTAATTTTGTTGGGTACAGCATTGAAAGGAAGAGCTGATACCATTCAGTGAATGAGAAAAGTACACCCTGCATCAACCGCCATTTATTTTAATCCTCTGTAAGTAATCAGCATTTTGACTGACAGCCCACATTTCCTCTCCACATATTAAATACAGCTTCTGTATAAACAGCACATATAATGGGTTAGTTTTAAATATGTCATAAATTATCACTTGTTAGAGGCTGACTTGTCACAACATAGGAGTGACACACAATCAGTCACTTGCGTTATGGCACTTTTTTTTGCCTGTGAAGGTAAGTGCAACTAAGCTGTTATAAATCCCATGCAACTTTAAGATCCTTTGTAGTTACCATTAACAAATCAATGCCTTTGGCAATAAAATCCAGAGTAACCTCTCCACTGTCTCCATTTCTGATTAATTATTTCAGTGCAACATTTTGCACAGGAGATTGGTAGTTTGCATGGTGAATATTAAAAATAACAGGCCAGATTCTCATCTGGTGTAAATCTGTGCAGCTTTTCATACTTCACAGTCAGTACAGCTCCATCATTTTTTCCCAGCTGCAAATCTGGCCCAATGGCCTGAATACCCTACTGAGTCACTCTCCTATTTTATGTTACTTGAATTCTGTGGGGAATCAGTCCCACTTTGTTTAAACCTCCACACCTCCATTAGTAGCCCACAGGAGTAATGGGCTGGTTTACCATAAGACTGAATTAAGAACCTACAGATGAAAACTGTGAAATAACCAAAACCATTCCAACAATGGGATATGTAAAAGACTTAGCAGAGAGGTAATAACTGCATTCTTGTTTTCCCACACTTCATTAAAATCATACTTCTGTCACCTCACCTTCAGGGAATGAGGTTGAAAGAAATGTTATATGCATGTTAAATATTTCTCTCTAAACAATAACTACCATGATCACATGATCTTTGGATTCCAGCTGCCTGGGATTTTAAGAAAAAACACTGAATATCATTTGAGTTGAGAACACAGTTATTTAAAGAAACACCAGAGCACCCCAAGGGATGACAAGGTTGAACAGTCACGAACTCCTCCATGACCGTTTCAAGCTGGACATAAGGAAGATCTTCTTTACTGTCTGAGCCCCCAAGGTTTGGAATAGACTGCCGCCGGAGTTGGTTTAAGCGCCTACTTTGCACGCCTTCAAGAGACATTTGGATGTTTATCTTGCTGGGATCCTATGATCCCTGCTGACTTCCTGCCCCTGGGTCAGGGGGCTAGACTCGATCATCTTCCAAGGTCCCTTCCAGCCCTAGTGCCTATGAATCTATAATCAGAAAGTATAGAGGAACACAGGACCCCCTTGGCCATCAAGCCCAGTCCCCAAAATATGCACAGATCTTCTTATAAGGATCAGGAGTGCTCTTAGGAAACTGAATGTTATTTCCTGATCAAACTCGTTTGATCTAGGTCAGGAAGATAAAGGTCCCTATCCCAGTTCTTCCTTTACTACATCCTTCTGAATTAAGATGGTTGGCTCTCCTGAGGAGGTCTTGTCCTCTCCCCTGCTACCAGAAACACATTTGGGA